CCCTGCAGCCCCCGCGCCCGGCTTTCCCGCCGGTGCGCCGCGGGTCGGCCGCCGGGGAGCGGCGAAGGGCTTCCTGGGCGCGGAGACTTCACCGCGGGTTCTGCTCCTCAGGCGACGGCCTCGGGCGCCGCAGACTCGAGGGCGGTGTGACCGGGCTGGACTCCCCGCGGGCGTGGGGCGAGCAGTCGGCGCCGCGGGCTGGGCTTGGAAGAGACGAGCAGCGCGAGTGCTTGGGGACCACTCCCCTCTGTACGCGGGGGCACTGCGCCCCTTTCCGCCCTTCATTCAGATCCGAGGCCCGTCAGCCTGGGAGCCGCGGTTTGAATCCGAGAGGTGCCCTTCCTTCGTTGCTGAGGCCCTGGGTAAACGGCTTAGCTGTCCAGGCCCGGGTGAGGGGCAACCTGGAAAGCCGGTTGTGGAGCGCGCGGCCCGGGCGCACAGGTTCGGCGCGAGCTGGCCCTCCGGGAGGAAAGGGTGCATGGAAATTTCCTCGTACATCGTTTCTTTTTGAGGCGAAGGGTATTCTTTTATATGTTTGTGTTTTTTGTTATCCTGACCCCCCTTTTTTTTTTTTTTTACATTTTTTGGTGCAAAAATGAGATGTAATTCACTTATAAAATCCACCCTAGAAAGTTCAGTGGTTTTTAGTGTAATCGTTGTTTTTTGTTTTCACTAAACAACTTAAGCAAATTAGAAGTATAAGCTTTTTTGCAGACACTGCCGTGTACACCAGTGTGTGTGCGTGTTTAAGAACAAGTACATTTAAGTTCACGTTAGTCGCCAGCATTCAATATAACCCTAAGGAGGCATATCTAAAATTCTGAATCTGTAGAACTAGGGTGCCCTATGAAGTGACCTGCTGACTCTGAAACACTGAAAATAATCAACAGAGAAATGATGTATTACTTGCCAGCTGCTGCATACCGGTATTCAAGGAGTCTTTTAAATCAGCTTTTCAAGTTCTGTGTAGGTTACGTTTTTTTCTACAGGTGTCCTAAAGTAGGCTAGATCAACTTGTGAGCACAGGCGGTGTTTCTGCAGCTCTCCTGCCTGCCTGTGACTACGCAGGCACCTTTTTTTTTTTTCTTCCTCCTTTTCCTGATAAACCTTTTAAAAATGAAAAAAAAAAAACTTTCTATGCTTCTTTAACTCACTAAAACAAGCACAGTGCTAAGAACATTTTAAGTTTCAATTTGCATGTTGGTTAGGTAATTGACAATTTTAAATTATGCTTTAGCATAGATCTAATAAATAAGCTTTAATTATGGTAACATTTAAACTTCTCTTCACATCTGCCTTATCCAGAAACAACTTCTTAAACCACTTCTGATTTTTCCAGTGAAATTAGATATCACAAACACCAATATATTGACTCTTTTATTTTCTCATCAGTTCCTACTTTTAAGAGGACACTATTCTAGTTATTCCTCCCATAACAGTACATTAGTACTTAGAGACTGAAAGAAATTGCAAACAGACAGCAACCATCTTAGCAGTAAGAAAAAAAAGTTTTCTAAAACTATAATCTTTACAGTCCTGTGTTTGCCTAAACAGCAAGCATATTGTCATTCAATTTACTAACCCAACAGAATACATCTTCACATTTCAAACTGGATTATTCCCTTAAGCTAATAAATTATGTTCAAGTAGTAAAAACAAGAACGGTGAATTCCACTGAATATTTTTGCACCTGCTTATTAAAGTTACGAGTTAAAACACCAGTTTACAATTTTTTTTACATATTCAACTGTGCAACAAATGCATGATTCTTTTAAGCCAACCGAAGTTGTAAGACAACACTTCACTGAAGAAAACATGAAATTGCAGCATTAATTTCTAAAATGAAATTCCTCTTCCCAACTTCTTTCCATCCATCACTACTCCACATGTTCCTGCTCTTGTCCTGGAATGAGCCACCTAATACTCTCATTTCGAATGGTAGCATACATAATAAAACCAATTAAAAAGAATAAAGAAAATACAAGCAACCAGTCCACACTTTTTATCAAAGTGCTGGGAAGAGGGCCTATTTGGTCAGCTTGAGTCACCACCACATTTTTCTTGGCTTCTATACCTGAAAGAGAAATCAGTTGTTTCAAATCAGATAAAAAACATACCCTCAACAGTTCTTTCTTAAGTATTTTGCATGGCATGCAAAATGACATGCAATCTTAAAAACAAACATCACTGCTAGTCTATCTGGGATAGGTTTCACTTGCTTGTCAATGTGATTTGTAACTTGCCTTTCTCCCCACCACATCAAAGGAACAGGACTCTTCAGCTATTCAAAGCTAAAATATTAGAATTTCTGTGAACTCATCAGAAGGCTTTTAGTGTATTATCATAATTGTCTTTTGTTTTCTTTTGAGACTAAGGTTCAACAGAGAACTAGGTAAAGTTACTCTCACAAATCTATATAACATTTTTACAGTGTAAATAACACTAAGTTCAAGTAACCACCACTGGGTTCTGTGATTACCAAAGATACTGTGATTCCTTGATTTCATTTGTGTCCAAGGTTTTTGTAAGCACTGAACAAAATGGTCCCCTCTCTTCCTTGTCAATCTGAATGGCGAGTAGGAGTCTCAAAGGAGACTTGAAGTGGCTCAGTGGCCTTTTACCCCTTTGAGGTAACTCAGCTGTTTGTTCTCTAGAATTAGATAAAAATAATTACATCAAGTTATATATATATGGAAATTATAATGTAATTTGTATTTATTTTCAGTGACTATACTTCAGGAAAAAGTAGGATACTCATTAATAAAGCATTAAAGTTTCTGAGAAATGAACTCAAATAAAGGACTTTTTTTTTTTTTAAGATTTTAATTTACTAATGCACACAAGAAGTGGGATACAAGTCAAAGGTGCGGGGGGTGAGAAGATTCACCAGAGACAGAGTGGGAGCAGAACAGGCAGATTGACTGAAATATACTGCTGAGGGGAGCAGTGGGTGGGTTCAGGAGAGGTCTGCTGTGCCATGTGGGTCACCTCCCTGGTGGGGGAATCAAACTCGTGCTGCAGTGGCTGCAGACAGCTTCATAGTGCTATGCTTTAACCCCTTGCACCACCAGCAAGGAAGGCCCTAAAGAAAATTTCATCAATATTCAGTGTCCAATTTTTTCAGATTTAAAAAAAAGGCCATGTGGGGGCCTCCCTGGTGGCTCAAGGGTTTAGTCTCAGTACTCTCAAGCTATTGCCATCTACTGCAGCATGAGTTCAGTACCCTGCCAGGGAGCTAATACACATGGCATAGCAGACCTCGCCTGTCTCACCCACTGCTCCCCTCGTGTATTTCAGTAGGTCTACCTGTTCTGCCCCGCAACCCCTGCACCTCTGGCCTACACTTAAATTCTTGTATGTATAAATAAATGAGGCCAAACGTTTTGGCCAATACTCAGGATTCACGATAGCATCTGCAAATGGATTAATAAATGGAACACCATACAGCAGCAACACTGAACAAAACACAACCATATGCCACAATGCAAATGAACACCACAAGCATAATGGTCAGTGAAATCAACCAAACAAGAAAGAATCCACACTGCATGTCTCCATTAATACAGCACTTAAAACAGGTAACACTAGTCCACAGTGTTGGGAAACGTGTCAGTAGTTCTCCTTGGGGAAAGCAGAAGCAGCAATGCTAGAACAGGATTGGTAATGTTCTTTCTGGGTCTGAGCATGAGTTACACAAGGTGTTCACTTTGTGAAAATTCTAACCCTATCCTAATGACTGATACATTTGTGTGTGTGTAAATACTATATTTAAATGAAAAATATGAGCCTCCCTGGTGGCATAAAGGGTTAAGTCCCAGCAGTATGAAGCTATCAGCAGCCACTGCAGCACAAGCTCAATCCCTGACCAGGGAGGTGACCTACACGGCTCAGCAGACCTCTCCTGTCTAGCCTGCTGCTCTCCTCAGCAGTGTACTTGTGTCAATCCATTCTTTTCTGCTCCCATTCTGTCTCTGGTGAATCCTCTCACCACCCCTGCACCTCTGACCTGTACCCCAGTTCTTTATGCACAAATAAATCTTTTTCTTTTTTAAAGATTTATTTATTCATATAGAACTAGGGTATAGACCAGAGATGCGCAGGGTGAGAGGCTTCACCAGAGACAGAGCGGGGAGCAGAACAGGCAGATCAACGAAGTACACCGCTGAGGGAAGCAGCTGGCGGGTCACGAGAGGTCTG